TCATTCATGGACATATACACACTCATGGTCTACATTTTTTCTCTGTGAGTTATCATAACATTTTTGTGTATATTTCCCTGTGCTATACAGTGTAATCTTGTTTATCTATTCTACAATTTTGAAATCCCAGTCTATCCCTTTTTGTTCTGTTTTTAATACTGCAACTGTTGCTCTTATTAATTATGGACATTTTTGGAAGATGTGAAAAAGTAAAAATTGGAGAAACTTAAGTTTTATCAAAGATAAGCTGTGTTAAATTTTCTTCTCATCTTTTTCCTGTGCTATTTGCTATTGTTTCAAATACTAACTCTTGTGCTATATATAAAAATTGTATTGTGCTTTTTAAAAACTTCCATTATAAATACTTTTTCCATGTTATCACTAATGTTACTTTATTTTAACAATTCTATGATATTATATTGTGTAGTATCTTTCTGCTGTTTAAAATTTAAGTTTCCATGTTTTGTTTTTTGTTTTTTAAGACCTCTCTGGTTATTGTCTTTGCTTGGTAAACCACTTAGTTAATGACTGGGTTAAAAGATTTGAGTGTTTTTCAGATTCTTGATATTTTCATTGCCCCATTGCTTCTGAAAGGATTTACACCATTTACATTTTACTATTGTTACATGCTTTAGATATAGCAGCATTTGATTTTGAGAATTTCCATAAATGCTTTTAACTTGAATTTTCATGTAATTCAATTATTCCTTAATAACCTTGAGTTTGACTTTTGTTGAGTGAAAAACTGTTTGAGAATCTTAGTGATTGGTACTAGGTAAAGCAGTGTTCACATAGCTTTTACCCATATAATGAATGTAATTTGTGTAGTTACAATTTACAATACAACGCAGTTGTGATTTAGAAAAAAGGATAGCTTTGTTTTAAGGTTGCTTTTATTTTTCAAGAAAACTTGCAGTATGATTATTTACTTCAAGCTTACACTATGTTTTGATTTTGATAGTGTGATTTTGCCTCCCTTCAAACAGAAAGCGATAGATCTTGCTAGCAAAGCAGCCCAGGAAGACAAAGCTGGGAACTATGAGGAAGCCCTTCAGCTCTACCAACATGCTGTACAGTATTTTCTCCATGTAGTTAAATGTAAGGTCATAGTTCGTTTGTTTATTTATTTAAAAGCACTAGAAGAAAAGATTGTTCTATTTCATTTATAAAAATTGAAATATGTCTACTTAGTGAAAAATAAAGTGGTGCCCTCAGCCCAACTGTATCCTGAATTATATGGTGTACAAAATTATTTTATTATTTTGAAATTCTTTTGAAATATGGAGAGAATAAATCAGCAATATAGCTGCCAAAAAAATTGAAATACAATGCCAGGAAATTAGAAATCACCATTAGCAAAAAAGTCCCACTAGCCTGTTAGTAGTTTTTAAGTACTCAGCCCACAAGTGTGCACAGCTTTGACACCTAAACGTATTAAAATGCCATATAGTCAATGGAAGTAAGCTTTTATTTTGCTAGTAATATACCCAAATTATGTAATCTGAACCTACTCATTTTCTAACCATCTCATTGAGAATAATCTGTTTTAAAAATAGGTTGGGGGACACTTGTACTTAATGTTTCCCGTATGCCAGACACTGTTCTGGGTACTGGGATTCAACAGTAAGGAAGAAATGGCTGCCTTTGTGGATTTTAAACCTAATGCTGAACATAAGTGAAATAAGACATTTAAAAAGTGTCTTTCTGTCAAACTTAGTTATTTTTAAATAAAAATCTTAGCGATTGGATAATTTAGTATTTTCTTTCGAGCTTCCCCATTTAATGCCGAGGTTTTTCTGTCAAATTAAAGTGCAGCTGAGAATGAATCATAACGTATAAGGTGGGGCCAATGCCGTGCACTGCATATGTCCCTGAAGTCTCCTTTTGCCTCCCTGGGGCCTTTATTTAGTAAAATTACTATATATATGATACACCTGACATATGGGATTTCTATCACTTTTTATACTCTGAAATCAAGCTTATGTAGACATTAATGGAAATGGTTAACATTTCTTTATTTCTGTTTGTCTTTTGACTGGTTTTGTGAGACAAGCAGCTTTCAGCTATCTGCCCAGAATGTAAAGGAAGAATATGAAACCCACAGAATATTAAATAATTTTTATTATTATTTAACATTAACTTAAAACATCCTAGTGTCTTGTTCAGATCTCTTTCTGACTCACATCACCATTGGCATCCAGCTGTGTTGGAGGAAGGAGTAGAAAAGGTTAATCATCATTGGTTCCCATAAGCTAGAGATGATCTTTTCTCTCTCCCCCAAAATAGATTTTCCTTGTTGAAAAGTGTATCTATGAGTTTAAACCTGTCTGTGTAGAATACTAATGGAAAAAATCTCTCTTTGCCCCTTAATAGATGAAGCACAGGGCGATAAAGCCAAGCAGAGTATCAGGGCAAAATGTACAGAATATCTTGATAGAGCAGAAAAACTAAAGGAGTACCTGAAGAAGAAAGAGAAAAAACCACAGAAGCCAGTGAAGGAGGGACAGCCGAGTCCAGCTGACGAGAAGGGGTATGTATTTTACCTGGTGAGATCGAATTGTATCACATTACAAGATAAAGTTAAATTTAATTTGTGAAGTAAATTCCTTTTGTTTAAACTAGGTGTTGGCAAACCGTGACTCATGGGCCAAATCTGACCTGCTGCCTATTTTCTTAACTAGAGTTTTATCGGAACACAGCCTCGTCCATTCATGCACCTGTGGTCAGTGGCCGCTTTTGTTCTGCCCCAGCAAAGCTGAGTAGTTGTGACAAGAGGCTGTGTGGGTGACAAAGCTTAAATATTTACTGTCTGGTCCTTTTCAGAAAAAGTTTGTCAATCTCCTGTTTACCAAGCTCAGGGGATGATAGAACTCAGATTGCTCTCCGTGACTGCTTGGTGGTAGTAGTAGAAAAAACATTTGGTAGGAATGGTACTCAGTTCTTTACCCTCTGGCTATTATGTAGTATTAAAGTTTAAAATTACGGAAGTGATATGTGAATTGAATCTTTGACTAGTGGTATTGGCTCTTAGTCAGTACTGAGCACATGCACAAAATGAAAAATTAATAATGTAAGTAATTTTTTGGATATCATATGTAAAGTTTTTTGGGGGGATTTGCATCGAATTTGCTTTATTTTGTCATTGTAAAGAAAACAACACAGCATAATTTATAAACATCAAAACCCATTTCTGAAATGTCTTCCTAGACGGGAGATACATCACTTACAGAAGCAGAACTTGTATATTCAGCACCTAACGTATGCATGCCAAGCTCTGTGCTGAGCAGTGGTAACAGTCTATTCACGTCACCTGATCATTCTTTTCATGGTGCCAGAAGTGGTTCCAGGTGACAACATACAATTTGGATGCCATACAGCTGGGAGCGATGCCCCACTCCACCAGGGTTGTTCTAGCAGATACCGCTGCTGCCTGCTCCCTCACCAAGCACGTCCAGTGCCAGGGAGCGGGCAGGAGAACCTGCCATGGCACCCTCAGCAAAGCCAGTGGTTTCATCTACAGCTGCGTCCCCTTGTGGGCAGCCCGCACCTCAGTGGCTTGCTTGCACCTTCTAGGAGGACTTTGGTCACTTGTGGAGCCCTAGCTGCAGGGGCGCCTAGGAAGGGCAATTAGGTACATCCTTCACAAGAAAGCATGGGAGAAGGAGGTTGGCATGAGTGTTAGCTGAATTAGTTAGCAGATTCCACTTCACCTGTAAATAACACCACCATCCTGTGATAACCAAGCCATCCTATCTTGAGGTCATACCTGTCAAGCTTTTTATTCCCCCTTATATCTTATATGTGAAAAATGATGTAATGCCGTATTTTTTGCTTTATCACTTTGTCACTAAACATCTTGAACATCTTTCCAGCAAACTATTTCTACATCATTTTTAAAGACTGCAATGTATTCTATTACATACTAATCCTTACAATTGAACATAAATTATTTCTAATTTTTTCCCTATTGTGAAGAATAAGGGCATGATTATCCGTGTAGTCATATCCTGAACTCTGATCATTTCCTCAGAATAAATCCCTGGTTGTGAAATGACTGGGTTGATCTCCTTGTTCTTCGGGGTCAGTTCATTTTCATTAGAAGCTTCATCCATCCTTCAGAACCCTCAGACTGAGGGTTGTTGACCTTTGTACCTTAAAGAGTTAATATTCTGGGTTTTTTCCTTCTAGTTAATGGCTTCTTTTTCTAATATATAGTTTTGTCTGGTCCTGATTTGTTTGTTGTAGTTGTTTACAACACTCATGTAATTCATCTTAAATCTTTTGTAGAATGAGGTGTGGGTCATTTATGAGTTAATGCATGCATAGGTATGTCATGAGAATTAGGAGCTAGTTCCTGACTTCATCCTGGTCTTTTTGTCCCCTTCCTGTTCATGATTCCATATTGATGCCAATATGACTGCTACTATTTTGTGTAATATACTCTTTTTATAAAAAAATTTTTTTATTGAAGTATAGTCAGTTACAATATGTTAATTTCTGGTGTACAGCGCAATGTCCCGGTCATGCATATACATACATATATTCATTTTCATATTCTTTTTTCATTAAAGGTCATTGCAAGATATTGAATAGTTTCCTTTATACTCTTAAAAGTAATAAAATAATAACTTTTAATGTGTATGTCTTATTTTGCCATTTAAATTACAGATATTTCAGATTAATCATTCCTTCATTTTTGCCTTATTTTGATAGCAATGAGTGATCATTTGCATATATTAAATTCTTTTTATTAGGAATGACAGTGATGGGGAAGGAGAATCTGATGATCCTGAAAAAAAGAAACTACAGAATCAACTTCAAGGTTGCTTTAGATTTCATTTTTAAATTTACTATCTTATTAAAAAAGAAAAACTCACAGTGAATTGTCTGTTTGAATTGTTTCCCCACCCCCAACCCCCTGTATTTAAAGGAGGTTCAAGAACTGGCTTTGGTTCCCAGTGGTCATGTGCTGGCTTTGTTGAGACCATTTTTATAGTGTTTGCTCCATAGAGTCCCTAATGGGTTGGTTTTTTCCATGCAGTAGAAATATTGTTTAGTTTTATTTTGGCCTTGAAAAGCTTACTCTCTTTGATTTTTTTGTCTTATTTTCCCCTTTTCAGAGAGGGTAGCAGTTATACTATTAGCACCCTATAAAATCTGATGGTATTAAAATTTCCTGTCAAGAGGAACAGAATGAATTAGGGCTCACACTTGACTTTTACTGCTATTGCTGGAGCTCATTCATTGATGGTTTATTTCATGTTTTCTACCTGGTCTTCCTCATCTGCTTTTTGATCCTACTTCAAGTGTTCCCATTTACATTTCTCTCTTTCTGCCTTCAGTTTTTTAACTTCCACACCTTTAAAAGCACTTTTGTTTTCTGCTGTAGTGTCGTGGCATGATGGAGGGGGCATAGGTATCAGCTCCATTCAGCTCTGGATTCCACCCTGGGGTCTGCTACTTAAATCTGCCTCATCTTGGACAAGTTCCCTAACCTCTAAGATTCTGAGACCCCCAACTCTAAAATGGAAATTAAGAGTACTTTCCTTTCAGGGCTGCTAAAAGATTAATGACAATGTAAAAACTGCTTAATATTCTGAGAAATTCTCAGGACTCAGTTAATAGTAGCTCTGTGTATCTAAAAAGATACCTATTTAATTGCTGCTGCTTTAGTTACTGAGGTTTGATTGTTCCTTGATATGGTAGCTAATGATTTTTCAAGTTGGATTTTATGCTCAATCATTGGTAATATGTATTTTATTCATTTGAACCTTGCCGAATAGAATGCGTAACTGGAAAGGACATCTATCATATAGTCTTCAGCCTTAGTGAGTGGTGAGCACACTCAGCTTGGCCAGATCCTTAGCCTTGCTATTCTAGTCTCTCTGTTTTGGTAATGCTTCTGTCTTACCCACCCTATTGGGAGGTATAGAGGTATACTGTAATGATAGTATCTTGAAAACACTACCATTAACAGGGATAATTTTACCTGCTGAGAACTTCAGTGGTGGGTGTAGTCCAAGGGCAGTAACTGGGTTTCTGGGTGTAGTCCAGGCAGTAACTCCACTGCCTGGAG